GTTCACGTTCAAGCGGTTCCATCATGGCGTTCATCACAGTGATAAACAGCAATGGGGAGAGAACTGGACCATGATCTACGACCTCGATTTGGAATTCTTTCGATTGCCTTGCAGCTGTCTGCACATGACTGGAAGCGCTGTGGCAGATCAAATTTATCCAAGGAACGTACTCTTTTTGCGCCATGTGTTTATATAGGGCCCTTAAATGACTTCATCTCAGACAACTGCATCGGGAAGTTCGCGGGTGCTTGCTCAGCCACCAATCATCCATGCCGCGAGCTGCCCAGTATAAACCGATATTGAACCCGATGAGTGACTGCGGCGCATCCTGTAAGCGCCCAATAGTTGACCCGATTAGCATGCTTGTAGGGTCTAGAAAGAGTGAAAAAATCTTTTGGACTCTCTTTCATGACAACGACTTAAATGCAAATTGACCAACTTGTTAGCTCATCTGTCGACATCATCTAGTGTCGTCAATGGTACTCATCCGACTGTTGAGGTTTGTTTCGTAAGCATAAGATTCAACTGCCACGCAGGAGCAAACCTGGGAGGCGACTACCCAGCCTCACAAATATTTAGGGTAGCCCCCACGCTGCGGCGTACCTCACGCGGTTGCCCTTAACCTACAGCGTGTAAGAAGTGCGGCCTTTGATAAGGCCCGCGGCACGCCGAATGAGGTGATTGGGCCGCGACTCTCCCGATAATCTTTTCCCGATTTCAACTTTGGCCGCGGCGTTCCCGGTAAAGTTTACATGGGCCGCGGCGTGCGCGGCTGGAATTTCAAGGGCCGCGGCACATATAACACGCTTTGAAGCCGCGAACTTTCCGATGCAACTATTAGGTTGTCCGGAAATTAATGCAGGTTTTGAATTCCAACAGCAATAAGTCATATACTTCTCATTTTTAAATAGGTTTCAAAGTACCATTCGATAGAGCAAAGCAAGCTCTACAAGATGGCCATGTTGCTTTAGCAACAACTCTGATCCACTATGAGTTTCGAGCCAAAAACTAAAAAGATTCAACTGTCCGAAAAATTGAGAAAAATCGTAACTCAGTTCATAAAAATCCTACAAAAATTCTAACTTGCTCACGTAAACATAATCCACATAAGGCATCTATATACGCGGTTGCCGTATTTTTTTCTGCGTTAGAAATCAAGAAAACGGAAATTTTCGTGCATTTGCCAAAGTGGTGCTGTGCCGTTCCCACATAAGTAGTTGTATACTACAAACCTTTAGAAGTACAAACGTAAATTTCCAGTTCTCTACAAGCTTTAGTTCTCGAGAAATTTCGAGTACAGTTTTCCTTAGTCATGTGGTCCAAGCTAAAATTCAAATTTCTCGAGAACTAAAGCTTGTAAAGAGCTGGAAATTTACGTCTGTACTTCTAAGGGTTTGTAGTATACAACTATTTATGTGGGAACGGCACAGCGCCACTTTGGCAAATGCACGAAAATTTCTGTTTTCTTGATTTCTAACGCAGAAAAAAATACGGCAACCGCGTATATAGATGCCTTATGTGGATTATGTTTACGTGAGCAAGTTAGAATTTTTGTAGGATTTTTATGAACTGAGTTACGATTTTTCTCAATTTTTCGAACAGTTGAATCTTTTTAGTTTTTGGCTCGAAACTCGTAGTGGATCAGAGTTGTTGCTAAAGCAACATGGCCATCTTGTAGAGCTTGCTTTGCTCTATCGAATGGTACTTTGCAACCTATTTAGAAATGAGAAGTGTATGACTTATTGCGGTTGGAATTCAAAACCTGCATTAATTTCCGGACAACCTAATATCTGAGATAGGGCACCTTGTACCTTGTTGAAGGCTTCCTCCAAGTGAAGGATAGCTGCGTGCAGTTCCTTCTGTTTCTCTCGATATTTTTCCATCACTAGACGAGGGGATGGATGGCGTCGGCCGTACCCACTCCTTCCAGGAATCCGCACTGATTCGGTGACAACTCTATGACACCTCGAAACTGTGTTTCAATTATTCACTCAAAGATTTTTAGAGAGTGGTCCATGAATCGGATCCACCGGTGACGGACAGTCTGCTATGTCTGTCTCCTTCGTTCTTCCATACCGTTGTGTTGTACCAGTCACGAGGCATACTTCTGCTCCTTATGATTTGATTAAGGAGACTCGTTAGGCAAGAGGATTCGGAATTTCCACATTTCTTCCAAAACTCGCTTAGTCATTTGTTCAGTAGCTTTGCCATGCTGTTTCTCAGCTGCTTTTCTCAGCGTTCACCAAGTCTGTCTATGATATGGAAGTGCTCCACATCTTTTGCGGACCCCACTCTCTTCTTCTTGCTATCCGGTATGTTTCACGTTCTCCCTCGCGGGATTCTGAATGATCGCAGAGCTCTTCCATAAAACCTGTTTTCCCTTCTTTGCAAAAGCTTTCGCAGCGTGTTTGGCTTATTGGTATGTCTGGCCATCGTCCTCCGGTTTCGTCTTAAGCCATCGCTTGTACGCATCCCTCTTCTCCTTTATAACTTTCTGCACTTCTTCTTCCACCACCACTTTTCTCGATCAGTCCTTCCTTTTACTGGCTTTGTACTTCTCAGGATCATATGTACCACTTCATGGACTCGATGTCAAGCCTGCCCGGGATCGCTCGAGTTCTCTTGCAGGCTTGGTAGAGTTGCTAGCAGTTTGTTTTCGCCGCATTAATGGTTTTCACTCTCTACAATTTGATGCTTGTCCTGATCTCTGTAGTTCCTCGGACGTGTCTATTCATTGTTCGTTTGATCTCGTGAAGCAGTGGTTTACGTTGAGGTATGCAGCTTTCACCGGGGATGACTTTGCCGTCCTGTACGTTTTTGAGGTCACGCTGTCGGATAGCTCAGAAATCTCTTTGCGTTTTCGGTCGCCACTCGCATATGTAATGAGGTGGACATTCTTCTTAATGTAGTATGTGTTCGCGAAGACCGGATCATGAGCTGACCGAAATTCCAGAATGCGCTCACCTTCTTGCATCTTTTATACCATGGCCTCTGTGACCTGAGGTCCGCTCCTAGCAGGGTGTTTCATCCAGTGGGACTGAACCGATATGGTCATCGAGATCCTGCCAGAACGTGTCCACCATCATCTTTACATCCGACTACATCCGACTCCTTACATTCCCTCATTTGTCTTCCGGCGAGCGTTCGGCTTTATCTTCAACCCTACTGTCAATCGATCATTTCAACCCATGCGAGTTCAACAACCACGCTTGAAGGCCCCGTACCTAGGTGACCTGTGATGAGTCCTCGTCTTGCCATACGGCAGAGGAGCAACCGCAGAAGGTTTTCATTTTACCAACCCTTAGATAACATCATTGGCAGGTGGGTATTCTGCCCATTGTATTGAGTTTTTTTGTGTGGCGGTTCGGAAGGAGTCAAATGGTGGGTACTCTGTATTGTAGTGTTTTGGCGGTGGTGCTGAGCTATGAGCTTAGGTTTAGCTCCATCAATATCGGTGGGCTAAATGTGTTCTTAGTCAACTTGATTTCCAATAAAATTCCATTGCCAAGAAGGCTGACACGATTCGCGGTAGTGCCAAGTTACTAAAAGAGTTTTCAACATTGTTAACCGCAGACTGAGATAGCTAGCAGTAGGATTCAGGGGGTAGGCTAGGCTCTTTGATCCGTTTAGTGCGTTTGTGTTCGTCAGGTCTTAAAGGCACCGTCCACCCAAAAGGGGGTCTATTAGATTTTGATGTCTAACAGTTGCGGGCCCTTAAACTGTATGATTGCCCAAATCGCGCTGTCTGAAGTTGCTTCCAGAGCAGGGAAATCGCTTCGAAAATTACTTCGGAAAGCGGATTCGCCACGTTGGCTTCTCCCTGGTAAGTGGGCGGTACGTTCCCGCCCACTCAGTGATTTCGCCTAGCACGCGCAAAGGTCAAGAAATCGATCGAATCATGCGAGAGTGGGGGTGGAGGAACGGACACCTCAATTAGGTACCGCCTCCGCGGACTATTGGTCCCAAGACGATGCATAACAGTAGGACGAAAGGACCAGCCGCCCGCGGAGGCGGTGCTCAATTGAGATGTTCGTTCCTCCACCCTGCGAGACTGCGCCTCTGCCCTGCGATGGGCCCGCAGCTGGCCCGCGGCTGACTGGCTGGCACAAGGAGTGCTCGTCTACTGCGGGTTCTGGAGGGCATCTAAAACTCAATAATTTGAGGCTTTCGTTCAATTTTAGGCCTGGATTCGGACTCAGCGGGCGCACGAGGTGCTAAAAAGGACAAAAACTCAAAATCGAGGATTTGGGTGGACGGTGCCTTCAAAAGCATGGCGCAAGCACGCTACCTTTTCCCCACATGTCGTTACCTCATCTCGCGGATAGCGCTCTCAGCTCCTGTCGCCGATGCAGTAGAGCTCTAACATCGCTGTTTTCCGGAACTGGGGACTCCAATCCGCGAAAAAATTGCTTGTTGAATTTATAGTAATAGGTCTGCGCAAACTGGCTGTACTCTCCACAAACAGTTCATAATATATACTTCAATCATCCTCCGTCATTATTTTTTACCGATCTTAGTAGTTTATGAAATGGATAGACATTAGGTGATAAAGGAAAGAAAGCTATAACGTGTTATAAAGTGCTAATTAGCTTTCTAAAGATCATGATGAACTCATTTGATGCATTAAATGGGGGCAAGCTTACTTACTGCTGCCCGAATATTAAGCGTTTGCAAAAACTGATTTGCTATTTACTAACATTTTTCAAGACCATACCATTTTGATAATGAAGATATTGTAGATAACTGAGCAATTTTTTGTAGCAGGGAGTCGACCACATGAATAATAGCCATAACGGTTATATCCGTACAAAGCAATGGACCATGCAGCAACGGAAACAGGCTTAGACACAGCCACTGAATTTATTTTCCAAGTTGCGAGTGGCAGTTTGTGATCTCCCGCAAATGACATAAGGTTTGAATGAGCTTTTTCTTACGAGCTCCAACCTTGACGTGCAATTGTACTTGCATTATTTGGCATGCAAACTTTCTGTAAAGAAAACTTACCAGGCTGATTTAGGCTGCAACCATTTGCTATGAATGTTGCCAAGCGCTTGCCATCGGATGAATGCCAACGCACCTCCCATGTAGAGTGTTATGGCATGTAACGCTATGCTAACTACTACGTGAATCTTCAGAAACATCATCCAACTGTATGAGTAGCCATTTTCGCCCTGAAACATATCACTACTCAGAGAAACAACTGTAGAAACGGAACGTTAGGAACTAAAAATCACCTGATAGATGCGAAATCGCATCAAGTAAATTATATACGATGTCATTGTGATTACATCACAGAAGGCTACTGCGGTCAGGACACAGTTAACGGCACATCGGCGCAATCGCGGTCGTGACAGGACCAAAATATGAACACCATTGGAAATTACCCCAACTATGCAAATGACAAGACAGGCGTATCGATGAAAAACTGTGTAGAATCTGAAAAGAAAATGAGTCGTACCGGTCTGGTAGCCAGTAACAGACCAGGGAAGGGAAAGGCGACGATTTTGAAAGTGTTCTACATGAATTATAGAAATGCACAAGTGTGCTGTCTTCACTTGTAGATAATTAAAGAGTTTTCAAAGAATTGAATTAATAAAAAACTTTTCGGCAGTATGGTGGCAGTAGTGCCACGCCTTTCTTAGAAAATTATGGGGTTATAGACCACCAAAGGGTGGGGTTCCCTATCATCCAAAAATCTGTGCCCCTCCCTTCATTCCAGTTTCTCGGAGCCACTGCTGGTCACAACTTATGTGCAGATCCGCCTCAACCAAAATGTCCGACTTGTCTCTCAACAGTTTAATTGTTGGGTTCGTCGTATTGTATTCCTTCCCCCCCCCCTTCACTGTTTCTTTTCTTTCCGTTTGAAAAGCATCCTTTCCCTTGCAACATAACAATGATTCGGAGGCTTTCCTACAAATTTCTGAACATTACAACCCTCTGTGGAAACTTCCCTTCACTACCTTCGCTATTTTCGCAAAAAAAAAATCCGGGATTTTTTGTCAACAGCAACCACATCTACGTGACATAAATTCCACTTCCGCCCCACAAAGGACGTATTTATATCTCCCGGGGCACAACATGACATTTGTATATCTCCTGCCAAAACAGCTTCGCGTAATCCAAAGCGTGCTACGTAAGCACGATTAATTCGCACCTTAGAAGATCGCAATTTTGGAATTCAACAAAGGACACCAGAGGACATATATCTTTGTGAGATTCTCGAATGTGATTTTTTTGCACAAAGTTTCAGAAAACGTAATAGACAAAACAAGTCTTCGACAGCGAGAAAAAGTTCATCACTTCCGCGTTTTATGCACAAGACCTCGTGAGAGAAACAGGTTTGTACAAACACAATATACATTCACATGGTGGGAGTTTTGGATTATATTGTAGTCGCGCTTTTAAGAAGTCCTTTTTAGAAGAATCTGCAGTAAACGTAAGCGAAACTCGATACAGCTACAGTTGTACATTTGGTAGTTTCTGTAAATGAAAAAAGTTTCTCACCATTTGAAAACTAATCTATCTACCAAGAAGGCATGACATTGGTTTTTCGTGCAAATTTCAGGAAAATACTATTCAAAAAAGTGAATCGTTCGTTTAACTCGAAATCAAATCAAGGTCTGTGCACATGAGAGTGAAATGGTTACGCTTAAATCAAACAGTAATAATGCTGCAATTTTTCTTTTAATTTCTGCTCAGTATCATTACTACTAAAATTTTTATTTCTGACTGAAACACTGCCTGAGGCGATATCAGCATCAGAATTCAAGCGAAGTCTCCAGAGGCCGTCGAAATAGGGCTTTTCAAGCTTCTAGTCTGAACGAAAGATCGCTTAACCATTTGTCAGAGGTGCACGAGAATGCATGATAAGATATGGAGCAAACTGTTTTCTATGAAAACAAATCTTGGCTTCAGTCTCAAAATTTGATTAGGTACAAAGTCTTCCATGTAATTGTGAGTTTGAATCTTTAAATAATGAAACTTAAAAATTTGAATTACATTTGAATATATTAGAGCGAACGGTAAAAAATGGGACAGTTTGATTTTATTACATTTTAAGATTTTTTGTCCTCACCAATAACAAGCAGGCTGAACTCAAACGTCGCTTACATAATCGACCTTCGCCTATTATTCTGGCAGCGCGTTACCGCTCCTCTCTCATAACCGTACGCGTGGCGTCGTGAAGAACTCCGACAGGGTTTTTTTTGAACAACTCTCAATCTTGCACTGCTATACCGTAAAGTCGTAAAGCAAATGACAACCATTCGAAAGAACTTTTTATGCTCTTTCAAACGATATGTCAAATGCCTGAGTTTTCAATTTCAGGAAAAAGCGAAAAAACCTGAGAAATAGCTATTTTTGGCGCAATAAAAAACCAAAAAATTATGTTTTGCCCTATATTTTCCGAAAATAGATAGAATCTGAGGCAAGCTGCACATGGATGGACAGAGCGTAAGAAGCTCTATCAGATGGGAAGGAATTGAATAACGCGTATCTTCGTTCTCGAAGCTGCTAATGGCCATATCTCCTGACTTTGGAAGTTGAGGCCACCAAGCCGTCGTGGGTTTGGTGACTGTCCCACCACCCACTCCAGCAGTGGTACTTTGGGTGGTCTCACTTGAAACATGTGAGACCACCCAAAGTACCACTGCGCAGATACTGCTCAAAGTTCACAATTTATCGAAGTGATTAACTTTGCATTTCAGCAAGTATAAAAATTACTAATTATGTATTGTCGAAGTGATTAACTTTGCATTTCAGCAAGTATAAAAATTATTAATTATGTATTGTCGAAGTGAATAACTTTGCATTTCAGCAAGTATAAAAATTATTAATTATGTAAATGACCTTAAATAGGTACCATCTGAAAGAAAATAACATATTCTAACATCTTTCAAAATTGGAATGTCTAATCACTTCTCTTTCTTGAGAAACCTCCTAGTTATTTCGTAAGCGTCCCATTTTTTGCCGTTCACCCCAATATATTGAATGAATATTGAATAATAATAATGAATATATATTATATATACTGAATAATATTAAATTTTTTTTTGAAAATTTGGAAATCAAATAAAATTGAGAATGGATTTCTTTTGAGGTCGTGCAGCATCGTTTATACAATTTATTTTTGGATAAACAAATAAATAATTAAAACTTCGTGCGAGAGATACTGCTGTCAGGAGCGTGCGCATATACAGTTATGAAGATGGAATCTATGCATTTTTCTAAGATCTTCGCGATTCGTGGAATCTGCGGGTTTTCAACTTCCATGAGAGCTCACATACTGAAATTTGCGAGCAAATAGGACAAACCTTACAGGTCTCGCGAATTCCACTCCCACGGGGTTTGCAGAATCCTGCGAATTCTGCAAATCCCGCTCAAAAATTACGCGTATTCTGAAAAGTTCCGAATGAACTCGATCAAGGTAGATTAAACCTCCAAACCAAAATTTGTGGGTTCGATTTACTTTTCAGATGCTCAAAGAATTTTGACCTCAAGCCCCATTTAAACTTTCTCTCGAAACAAGCGGTCGGATGCGCTGCAGAGGGTATTGCGTAAAACAATTGTTCAATGCTGGTCGTAATCTCATCACTCGAGAAAAGCGGGGCGCAGATGCGAATGTGAGAGAAGGTGGCAGTATGGGGAAGAGAAGCGCGAGATTTAGTTCCAACTCACTTGTTAAATTGCTCGAGGCGATTTACAATGCTCAACACTAGCGAGTCGTTCAGATCCAGCAACATTCGTTCATCGTTGCACATTGCACCTGCTGAAATGATGGCATTGGTAAGGGTAGTTTCAGTAAAAGTTTATTGAAGAGAGTGAATAATCACAAAGAAGGATTTGACGCATGTGTATGTCAGTCCTTCAGCTTTTAAGTGGATGCATACTTCTTGCACTAGAAATAAAAACTTCGTTTCAGAAGTGCTCAAACGATCTGAGTAATTCATGCAATATGCCCTTTTTTTGATTTTGAAAAAGTTGTAGCAAAAATTCATGTAGGAGAACCACTCTGACGTGCGAGTTTCGAAGATGATTTTTCAAAATTAACGCAGCAGTAAAATTTGAAAATGGGTCCCTTACAGTATAGAGCTAGCCAGTCAGAGCTACTCTTTCTAACAGTGCAAGTTTGTGCTAATTGGGTTTTTCTAAGAAAGTTATGATATTCGTGAATAATGAAAAAAAACGGCAAAAATGATTTTTCTGCATTGTTCTGCATTTTCACGAAAATCATAACTTTTCATAGAAAAGCTCGATCAGCGCAAATTTGGCACCATTGGAAAGAGCAGCTATATACGTAGACTGCAAGAGACATGCCTATTTGTTTTACTTCTGGAGTACCTTGTCGTCAAAGAGCATTAAATCTCTTATTAGAATATAGATGATTTTTTCTATTTGAGAAGATTTTTATGAGCAGATACGTTCATATATATAGCAGTAACGATACTTTTCAAAGCGACAGAACTTTTGGTTCAACCTCTAAAGAGTGGATTATCAGTTCTCTAAAGGTGCTCATTGCAAAAATTTGTATGCAAATCTTGGTTGAGCTGTTGAAGGTTTTTAGTCAAAAGTGCTGCCATGTCATTAAATGTATTTTGGTTTTGGTTTTGTCCTACCCTATCTGTTTTTCGTCGATTGAGAGATTCTACGAAAAGGTATGGTTTCCAAATTCTATGATATAATCTCTGATATCCGGCAGAAAATAAATAATCTTATATATATAAAACTCAAACTTTGTGTGTTCGTTTATTTGTTCGTTCGTTATAGAGACGCCAGCCAATGAACCAATTGGGTTGACTTTGCATACATATGTTTTCGACCCCAGAGGTGGTTTATCGTTACTTTTTGCAGCGATTCGCTAGGAAATTCTATTGATTTGTTGATTCGTTTACTTACATCTGTGAAAGTTCAACATGCTCTAACTTATCATCTTGCAAAAACATGTAAGCAGGACGGTGAAGCTCATTCTAATCCCAGGGTCGGCAGAATGCGGCAGTTCGTCTCAACGCCCTTTTCAAGTTTGAAAGTGTAAGTAGAACATTTTGGTTAAATTAATTTAGAGCCTCGGGTGAAACCGGGACCACCAGCTAGTATAATATACAGCGTAAACTACGGCTCTATCACACAAACGGCACATATTTGACAAAAGCTCAGCTCCAGGCATTATAAAGAATTTTTGAAAAGTTTCTGGTGCAAGACTTATGGACCTAGTGATTTACTGATCTTCTTTTCGCACTTTATAAGAAGTGTTGTAGTTTCATGAGAATGTGAGAGCGAGTACACAACTGTATTTTTGTCTGGGAACAGATTAAGCATCGACGTGAGATGTACATATTTTGTGCAGCAGCAAAGCTTGCTGTTAAGCACAGAAATTATGTTACATAGAAATCTGATGGCAAATAACGGAAAAATAGAAAAACGTTTACTAAAATTTGAAAGATGATTCCAGTTCGGTAAATTGAGTTCAAAAATAAAAAACCTTGGTGCGGCATATTTAGAGGAACAATAAAGAGGAACACGAGAACTTTCAGAACAATCTGATGCAATATGACAAATATATAGTATTCCCGCTTGAATTGCCGAGAAATTGAGTTTTAAAAGGAAAACTTTGAAAATGAGCGGCGTTTATTTCTTCCACCTGTTATCCAATCGGTCCAGGTAAACCCAATCATTAGGATGTCACACAAATTTTGTTACCAACGCAAAAATCTCCATAACTTCCCCAAAATCTTTCCTCATTTTCAAGCTATATGGAATGTTGTGGATTTTTGAGTATTCATGTCATATTAGGTTGTCCGAAAATTAATGCAGGTCTTGAATTCCAACCGCAACAAGTCGAATTCTCATTTCTAAGTAAGTTGCATAACACCATTCGATAGAACTAAGCAAGCTCTACAAGATGGCTATCTTGCTTTAGCAACAGCTCTGATCCACCACGAGTTTCGAGACAAAAACTAAAAGGATTCAACTGCCCGAAAAATTGAAAAAAATCGTAACTCAGCTCAAAAAAATCCTACAAAAATTCTAACTTGCTCACGTAAACACAATCCACATAAGGCATCCATATACGCCGTTGCCGTGATTTTTCCTCTATTGGAAATCAAGAAAACGGAGTTTTTTGGAAATTTGCCAAAGTGGTGCTGTGCCGTCCCCACATAGATAGTTGTATACCACAAGTCTGTAGAAGTACAAACGTAAATTTCCAGCTCTCTATAAGCTTTAGTTCTCGAGAGATTCGAATTTTAGCTTGGACCACATGACTGGAGAAAACTGTATTCGATACTTTTCGAGAACTAAAGCTTGTAGAGACCTGGAAATTTACATTTGTACTTCTACAGAATTGTATACAATTACCTATGTGGGAACGGCACAGCACCACTTTGGCAAATTTCTGAAAATTTCCGTTTTCTTGATTTCTAATAGAGAAAAAAATGCGACAACGGCGTATATGGATGCCTTATGTGGATTGTGTTTACGTGAGCAAGTTAGAATTTTTGTAGGATTTTTTTGAGCTGAGTTACGATTTTTTTCAATTTTTCGGGCAGTTGAATCCTTTTAGTTTTTGTCTCGAAACTCGTGGTGGATCAGAGCCGTTGCTAAAGCAAGACAGCCATCTTGCAGAGCTTGCTTTGCTCTATCGAATGGTATTTTGCAACCTAATTAGAAATGAGAAGTGTTCGACTTATTGCGGTTGGAATTCAAGTCCTGCATTAATTTCCGGACAACCTAATACATATACAATAAAATTCTTGGATTTTTGACGTTTTTTTCCATATCATTTTTGACAAATTTCCAATTTGCGTGATTGAAAAAGTCAGACTTCCAATGCTTTTTTATTGCTTGTCCGGATCTCCACAAAAAAAATCTAAAAATATCAAAAAAGAAAAATGAGAGGTTTTTTCGAAAATCAAAGAAAAATGGAACTTGAAGTGCCGAGAACGTTAATGCCGCCCATGGATAGCCCTTGATCCATTCCCCATGTATGAAATTTCTAGTTTTCCAGTGAGAGGCGAAAAATCTGTAGCAAAATGTAACGACCCAATATTATTTCAAAGTTGGCTATCTAAAATATAAAGAATCGTTAGCTTAGTTTAAAAATCTTCCAATAGCGGGAAACCGCGGTGCGTTTCCGTAGCCGATTTATTGGAGGAAGTAAAATGAATATATCAGGTTGTTACATAAGTTTTGTCACACTTTTTTCGCCTTCCTCTAGAAAACTCTAGAAAATTCGGCAAGATTTCCATATTTGGCATATATGGAGAAGAGATAAAGGGCTATTCGCTAACACCATTTAAGCTCTCACCACTGACTTACAGTAAATATAAAAGCAACTCTGTAAAGGCACTCCAACCTCCAGTTTTTTATTTTCTAAAAAACCTCTTAATCTTCTTTTTCAATTTTTAAGATTTTTTATGAACTTCTAGGAGCATTGGTAGTAACCAGGGCAGTTTGGAAGTCCAAGCTCTTTAATATCCAAAATTGGAAATTTGCCAAAAATAATTCGAAAAAATTTTAAACGAATTCTAGAATTTGATTCTTTATGAGTGACATGTATATATCAAAATTTTGCAACATTACACATAAAAAAAATTATATGACAAAGTTATAAGGATTTTTTCAGTTGAGTGTAACAGAACTCATGTAACGACCTAATACTAGCAGACGTTTTGTGCCACAGTTAAACATGTGCCTGATATGGCTGAGAAAAAAAATGTCATTGCTTCCGTTCCACTTACTCCCGATTGCGAAGTAATTCGAATCAGCGACGGAACATGACTCAAAGCAAACACGCTTCCATGGTCGCGTCCCGTTGAGGTTGGAACTTCGAGTTCCACCTGGGATTTTCGTAGCGAAACGATAGGGGGGGGGGGGTGTAGACTTGAGATGGGAGGAACCACAACTGAGACATCAACAGACACTATAATGTATTGAAGAAAAGTCTATAACGAAACTATAATATCTACTATAAACTTTGCTGCTTTCACACATGTTTGATTCGAGAAATCTGAGCAGTGAAAACCAAAGGTATGAGTAATAAAAGAAAAAAGAGATACACCGGCTTTGATGTACAGCTGGGAGATGATCTGTGACACATTCTTTATACATTACATACTTCTTCTTACACAGATCTTCATTGTTTCAAACATTTATCTCAATTAAAAACTGAATGCCTATTTGTCTGTGTGCATATTGTGCGGAATTTAGATTCGTATTTCTAAACTGATCCGGACCAAACTTGGCGCGCATGTATTACTTCGGGGCGGGGAGCATGTCAAAGGCTACTTCCGTTATTGATTGGTATCGATTTTACCGATTTTATCGTGTTTTTTTGCCAAAATTAAGCTACGAGCCGGAGTTGGCCCAGGAGAGTAAGTTAGCGTGCTAGTTATGAAAATATTATTGATAGGAGCGGAGCCGGGTTTGCCATAGTCAGGGCTCGGCACGAGTCGGTTTCTAGGGTGTCTGAAAACGAAGTCTCCCCTCACTTTCGGAAGTTTTACGAAGTCCCCTTTGATTTACCTGCTTAGGAGAAGATAAAAACAAGAAAGATTTACTAGTCTGAAAGAAAAGAAGTAAGAAAAGAGAGAAAATCCAACTTGGAGCTGAATACTACGCACAAGACTTTGGCATTAGAGCGCGAAATTTAACAAAGCGAGAAGAAATGAAGGCAAAAAACAAAGCAAAGTAATGATATGAAAATGTCTTCATGCTCAAGGATAGATTTCTGACTGGGGAATTCGTCCATGCTAAAAAGATCCGA